CCTACCAGTCAGTGTAACAATGCATCTTGACTCATTGGTAAAGCTAGAATTATTCATCAATTGATAATTATTCATGTTAATTATGTCTGCAATCGTTTACAGGATGTGTAGCAATGTCTTATCTTTCTCTCCTTTCTGGTTAAGTACATATTGTGCAGAGTCAGAGAAAACTAATAAAACTTAGATGTCCTGACAATAAAAGATAACTATATTCAATGCATTATTATTCTAGTTCTGTTATTTTAGTAAAATCTGTGCACAAAATCATTAAACCCAAACTCAGATATTTTGCATTTTGGGTTTCAGTGGTTTGACATATGTTCACACTTGGACACACACAGATGGCTGTACGGTATCAAGAGGTAAATGATAAAGAGAGGGAGCAAGACTTGTTGCCATGGTGACACACCTCACGTGTATGAGCAGAGTTGTTGAATAAATGACCTTGACAAGCCAGATGTTTATCTGCCTTTTCAAGGAAAGGGAAAAAATGGAAGACAGCATTATAGTGTGCCACAAACCATGTAAGGGAAACGGGAACCACTTGGGAGGTGGTGCTTTGGTCAGAGGAGACCTAAATTAAACTTTTCGGTCGACCTGATTAACATTGCATGTAAAAACAGAAGCTGACACTACATATGAAAATACCCTAAACAGCTGAAAAAAAAAAAAAAAACATTGGTAGGTGGCAGCATTATGCTAAGATTTCTGTTCTAAAGCATGAAAAGTAAAGCTTGTCAAAGTATGAGATGACAACGCTTATTACAAGGCAATATTTAAAGAAAATCTATTGGAAGCTGCAAGGTTCTAGACTGAGATCAAGATCAATCACAAACAGGACAACAACCTTGAATGTATAGCCACAGCAGCAACAAAATATTATAGATTCAAGCATTTTCATGTGTTAGAATTGATTAATCTAGTTTTTATGTAAAGTGTAAGTCTAGTTATCACCTTAGTTAATCTTGAAGAACTTGAAATAAAGACAAATTAGCTTTTAACAAATTTCACACCGTTGAAATGTGTTCAAACCAATTCACAATCCAAAGTCAAGAGGTGAATAAAATATGATTTAGTACGATCATATTTTATTTAATGATTTTCTCAATCAGAATTCAACACCTATTAGTCAATTGATTCCTAAACTTCTGTGATTTTTCCTTTGAAAATAATTAAAAGGTCTAGCTTCTTTAGGCATGGTTTTTAAAACAATGGTGCTATCTTGACAATTAGCTCCAGAACATACATGAGCTGTTAAAGGAATAGTACACCCAAAACATGATTAGCCTTCATTTTCTACTCACCCCCATGCTGAACAACACTCTGGAGTACTTTTTTTATATCTCAAATGCATCTGGAGATCTGGGAGGCTTCTTGCTGTCTGCTGACATTCAAATAATGGAGGTCTATGGTGCCCGAGACAGAAAGGTCCATAAAAGTCCACAAAAAAACATGTCAATATTCCTCCATACTGCTCGTCCAATGTATTCCAAGTGTCATGAGTGGGTAGCATCCAGAATTTACTCGAAACGAAGTCATTTAGAATGTTTTTAGAGCATAAACAGTAGTGTATAGGATTTCCTGAAAGCGCGCACATGCGCGCTCACGACGCTATGGAAGCCGGCAGACCAAACTTTGAGTGTACTATTCCTTTAATCATCTGCTCTTTGTAGCCTCCACCGCAGTGCTGCAAGTGGGCTGGTATGCAACAGTTTGCAGTACCATCACTTGCTCAGTGTTCAGGGACTTATTCCCATATGTACCGCATACCTGAATTGCTGCACCTGCAACTGTACCTGTTGCACCAGGCACAGCAGCTTACTTGACACCTGTGGGTGGAGCAGCAGTGTTAGGTAAAATAATAGAGCTTAAGTAGCTTTGGTTTTTTGAGGCCAGACCTAAAACTGAGATAAAACATATTTCACAGAAGGAAATGCCAATGAGCCAACTGAAATCTTAAAGGGGTCATAGAATGCAAAACCTTATAAATGAATAGCGATAGTTTAGTGGCTGAAATGGACGTACAGAGAAGTTCAAACCCCATTGACACCTCCTTTATCTGGAAATCTCACAATACTAAACTTCCACCATAAAACGGGTGACTTCAGACGAAGCACCGAGTTGACATCAACTCGGGGTTGTTGCCGTATTTGGTTCTGGCCTGTACTTTTGTCACGCCCCGAAATTGACATACAGACCAGCCCACCGGTTCACTATCGTAAATGCTGTGTTCCAGGCTGCACAGAGAAAGGGGAACATTTTCACATTCTTCCCAAGGATCTGAAGACTCGGCAGGCATGGATTATTTTTGTCTATCAGAAGATCCCTGCAAAGGCTGATGCAGCACCAAAGCTGGCGGCTCGGTTCTGCTGCACTGTATTCGACAGTTTCTTAAATTCCCCCCAGACATTTTTTTTTTTTTTTTAAATGGACGTCTTTTAAAAAAAGGACATCTGGTCACCCTACCATATCAACAATTTTATGTTTCAGTGAGTGAGTGTTTGTTGCTATAATATGTCTTTGCTCAGCAGCTTCGCTCGTTGTAAACCAACCAGTCAGTGCACAGCTAAATATTCATGATCATACCATAAAAGGAAGAAAACCTGTTGTTTCATTCTAGGGCTTTTAACCAGGCTTACATTAGGGCTCATAGAACAGCAAATATGCCATTTTCAGCCCAACCTATTCAGAGACCTGAAGGACCGGCACCAAATACCCTATATAATCATTCTATGACAACTTTAAGGCAGAGATATAATTTATTTGCTTTTAAAAATCTTTTGTTTTACATCTTAGCTTTTTTTTTTTTTTTTTTTTACAGTATGAGCCTCTTTAATTAGATCTATAGATCAATAGACTGATCTATATAAAAATATTACCCATGTTTTTGTTGCATTTGTGTCATTTTTCTTCCTTACGCACACTTTCAGTCTATCTTCTTTGAATGACGTTTTTTATGGAGTATTACTTAAAGGGCAAGTAAATGTGTTTCTTGTTCTTGCCACCTAGAGAACAGGAACACATGTCTTGATTCTTGTGAATTATGTAGCAAGTGGTTAAAGCACTATTGGCCCACACTGTCACTTGTCATTGTTAGTAGTGGTCTTTATAAAGTTTATTAAGTTTCAAAAAAACAAGTTCATAGATTAAAGGCCAAATTCTCTGGGCAATTAACCATGCTTCATTATCACAGCAACATATTCAGGCAGTTTATAATTAAATATGCATGCATGAGATCAAAAATGTAGCAGCATTTTTGGTTGTTCAACTATCAAAGTGGGATTATGAATGCAGAACAAGCATTTCTGAGGCAGCATTTGTGAACTTTGACTGAGGTTGTAAGAAGTTCTACGCATTAATGAACTTTGTGCTTTTAAAAGGATTATTATACCTCTTGATTTTGTTAGTCATGTTTATTGACACAAATTTCTTTTAAATATTTTCTCCAACCCTGCCACTTGAATATGCTGAAGGGATTTGATAACCTCAAATCGAGGCTCTCCTATTTTCTGAATATGAAATATTGAGTCCTCCATTTTTTTCCCTCAATGTTTCTCTTATTCCTTGTGGACTCTGGAGCATGTAATAAAACGACATGGATGCAAACCAAATAAAAAGTCCAGGCTCTGCTCAAGTCTCTGGATAAATCAAGGAAGGATAAAGCTTCTGTCTATAAATCAAAACTCATGAGGCATCTATGTTCTAATAAAAGGCAACATGGAGGATATCTGATACTATTTGTTGCAGAGTTCCCCTTCTATTACTGCACACTTTTATAGTTGTATTGAGAGCAAATATAAGTCAAACTTTTCAGTGAGTTGAATGCAGTTATTTATGAATAGGAAAATCTTTTAGTGCATATGTTTTGCTGCATTGCATAGGTAGTAGTTGTTAAAGCATTGTTAGACTCTGTTACCCCATGGTTTTGAATATAGAAGCAAGTAATGCTCATTTTCATATTCTGTCTGTAACTGCAATGATTTTCTCGTCCTTTATGTTAAAACTGCATTACTAGCATCTTTTGGAGTTAGTATAGCATTCACCCCGCTATTATGCTTTAAATATGCCCTGGTCTCACAAACCTAATTTGACATTGGCTGAAAACCCTGAACTTATTGTGAAAAGGTTATTTTAACATAACAGGGCCAACAGTTGCGTCGGATGCATGCAGGAGTTTTCCCTGCAACCGGAGGGTTGTTGGTCTAAGCCCCGTCTCTGGATTTTGGTGTTATGTCCTTGGGCAAGACACTTCACCGTTATTGCCTACTGATGGTGGTCAAAGGACCAGATGGTACCAGTGTACGGGAGCATTTCTGTTTTAATATGGATTATAAAACAAAGAGAGACCTTTTGCAAAACCTGTATGTTCTGCTGCATTCATAAGATTTGGACTGCATGTAAAGAACATATTTTGGAAGGAAAAAATATGGACATCTTCTATAGTCTAAAATATTTTTGCAAAAATCTTTGTAATTTAAATCACTGCCTAATTTAGCATAATAGGTATTATGCAGTTTGTCGGAATACCCATTAAATTTAGAAGCTAATGCTTTTCTCAAAATTGCTTGAACTACATGTATATAGATGTCTTAGAGGCCTATGTTTTGGTCATGATAGAAAAGATGAAATTGAGTTCTTTTCTGTTCTTCTTTTACATCTGTGTATCTTTGTGGACATGTTGGTATTTGTTAGAGGATATATTTTTCTATTTTAGTACCTGTTCTCAGGATTTTTCATATCTGGATCTGTTAATCCAGATTATTGTTTATATAAATTGTAAATTGATATTGCACATTGATCTTTTGTGAACTACAACTTCATTTCTTCTACATTTTCTGATAAACAGAGAATATAATCACTGAACATCCCTCTTTCTGCCATGTTAGATTTTTAAAACCTGTGTTTTTATCAAGTCAGATGGGACATAACAATTGGAGTTTACTGTTTTTCTTCAATGTTCAGAGGTCAAAGTTGCATTTTGTTCTGTAATCTCTTCACAGCTTGTCCTCAGGGCACCTTTAAGTCATCCCAGGGGGCAGGATTATGTCAGCAGTGCCCGCTCAACAGTCGCTCCACCATTGAAGCCGCCACCCTCTGTGGTTGTCGGAATGGATATTACCGTGGAGACATGGACAAACCAGAGGACATGTGTACCAGTGAGTCAACACATATAATTACAATCTCAGCACACCTTTCAGTTAGGTGCCAAGATGACTGGTCCAGGCTTAAAACCCCAGGAGGAGACATATTAGAACACAAGCTGACACCACCGGCTGTAGAATATTTCATAATTAAATGAAAATCCAGCATCTACCTTGATTTATTATTCTGCATATAAATTTATGCACCTCCATCAGAGAGCTAAAACACACACACACACGTATAGATATTCTTTAAGAGATTTGGGGAGCAGTAAGTAATAATGTTGCCACACTGTTCAGCCTCTCAATCTGGTTTGAATATGAGTTTATTGTGTAGAAGAGTCTATGCTGCAATGCAAGACAAAGCAGTGAGTTTGAGAAAAGCAGCCCCTCCATTCCTCAGAGATGTGGTGTAAGTAGGTTAAAACATGAATCATTTTGGACTCTGAAACAGAGTGTGTACCGTGTGTACTGCTGTACAAGTATGCAATCACTCATGGGTTTTTGTGCAGTTCCCAGTGACCTGAAAACATCTTTATATTTTGAGGGATCAAAACCACTTCTGTTTCATTCATATTTAGGAATTATTGTCTTTATATAGATTTAGGCTCCTCAAAAATAATAAACAAAGCCCTCAGGGATACACTCTATGTAATTTTTGAACAATACTTTTTATCTAAAGTAATATTTGTCTAAACAGCTAAATGTATGGTTCACATATTTTTGTAGCTATTGAAACCTGCAGTTACATTCCAAACACATTTCTAGTAACAGATTCATTTTTCTTTTGTTTGTTTTTTTGCTATTAGAACCACTTTCTTTGAGGCATAGCTTCAGCGAGATTACTGAAACATCCCTTAAAGAACGTGGTCCATATTAGCATGACAGCATCAGGCTTTTGCTGGAGATTTGTTGGCTGCACATTCAGATCTCTCTTCTGGATTTAGATTTGGTGACTGTGGAGGTCCTGGAGTAAACTGAATTATTGAGATTATTTAAACATTATTTCATGTTGTATTTTAATAGTCCCCATCAGAAGATTGATAGACTGTGGTTACAAGGGATGGACATGGTCAGCACTCAGAGGCACGGTGGTGTTATAATATTGACTAATATTGTGTGCTCTATAAATGCTGAAAGTGTGCTTAACAGTTTTACAGCAAAGAAAATGTTACAGTTGTTAATTTTTTTTCCTGATGAGGGATTTTTGGCTACCTTCATAATGTTTTTTTATTGAATCAAAAAGGACATGTCCTTAAAAAAGTTGAGAAAATATTCCTCACTGCAAAATCATTTGTAGGACATAAGAGGCAGACTAAAAAAGGTTTTTAAAGAAGAACTATTTGTCATATGTTCTGTAGGTCGGCCATTGTTTTATTACAGCAGAGAAGGCCCAGACGAAAGGCAGACCTCAACACATGGAAATAACAGTGATAGAGAGAAAACATCAAATTTGCCAGTGAGAGTGTCAGGTGTCATGCACTCACCCTGCACAGCTCTTTAAATTACTTCAGCACTTTCATTTCAAAGGCAAAACCAAAACAAATCAGGTTACAATGTTCTTTCTTTCTTCTGCATCAGAATATATGCTTCTTGTTTTCTTAGCATTGCATTTTACAGTATCTTGCTGTTTGCTGTGTTTGTTGAATGAACATCTTTTTTTTATGTAGGAAAAACTAACTCAGCTCAACTCAGTTACGTACCTGGATTAACATATTTGTGTATGACTCTAAATAGACTGTACAAGGGCACAACTTAGATTATTTTAGTCTCTCACTGTTTATCCTTTGATTTTGCTGAGGCCCCGTCCTTGGGTGTCTCTTTAAGAATTACAAGCTAAGACATATTCCACAGGGTCGTCTCATCTTATGACTCTTTGATTTAGCATACACCAAGGCTGAACATCCGTTTCATCTCAAATGCTCTTGTTTCGCATGCGTCACACTCAGTGTGATGTGTTTGCACTGTCAAGGAGAAGTGAGCCTGCCAGGCTTAACCTTGTGAAAACTCTTGTGTGCTTTGAAGACATACTTTGACACTGAGTGAAAACTGATACTGAGTCACTTGTAAAAGACAATGATTGTTAGGCCATTTTATGAATGTCAGAGAAGGTGCTTCCTTAAGCCCAAATTCTGCTTACAAGGAAGAGCTGAGCTTAACGGGACAGAAAATATATGTAGTTGTCAAAAAACTGAATAACAAAAAAAGGCTCAACAATCACATCATTTAAAATGTAAAAACATTTATTTGGCTTAAGCAGTCTGCAAAGAAAGGACAATAGAATGAGTAATTACTGTTTCTTTACTTTGTATTTTATTTCATCACAGAAAGCAACAAAGCTGGGCTTCCAAAGAAGGACATCTAGTAATTAAAACATTCCTTTTATTCAATTTACTTCTAGCAAACCAAATGCAAGTTTCCATACAGTATGTCTAATTCCATACTTAAGCCAAGCTAATTTGACTGAAAAACATGATCAGCGCTCTACTTTTAGAATAAATTTTAATTTAAACTCTGTTCATTTGATTAGTATTCTTCTCTCCACAAAGACCTTGTCTCAGTGTGCCGGACACCCCCTCTTGGTACTCCCAGTTTTAATTGCATCTGAGAGCAACACGCAACAACACCACATTCGAGCGGGCGCAGTGAGGATCGGGGTCTTCTCACACCCCTGTTCTCCGGCTGCCGCCTGGAGTCTGGGGCCTGGAGGAAGAGCGGGCCACCTGGTCCGTGGTTTTGGCTGGGGCTGGCTGCGGGGCCTAGGTGGCCTGCTGGTGGCGGGGCTGTCACCTCTGCTCTCCCCAAAGAAGGTTGGATGGAGGGGCATGAAGTGCCTGGTTGAAGGTTTTTTTTTTTTTTTTTTTTTTTTTTTTCGGGGGGGGGGGGCGGTTCTGGTTGGGTGGCCGGCGCGGGATGGGTGGGCCCCGGTCCCGGGGGGGGGCTCTTGCGGGGGGTGGTCCGGTCCGTGTGCGGGGTGGGGGGCCGGGCTTGAAGCAGGAAAGAGATGGGTTGGTGTGGCGGTGTCGCCGCTCCCCTCCCCTCACATCCGGATTTTAGGTTCACTTATGGGGTCATCCGATAGTCCCGGGACCGACCACCGGTGTCACCGGGTTTTTGGTCCTGGTATTATTGGATGTGAGTGTTATGTGTGAATGTGTGTCTGCGTTGTTATTTTCTTTATTTATTATTATTATTATTTTATTCAATTTTTTTTTTTTTTTTTTTTTTTTTTTCCTGTGGTACGAGTGGGGGCACTAGGGAGGGAAGGCATGATTGAGATGGTGTGTTTTTTTTTTTTTTTTTTTTTTTTTTTTTTTTCTTTCCCAGGTTGGGGTCTCAACCGCACCCTCTCCCAAATACATCTCAAGTCTCCGCTAAGTGCGGAGCCCATTCCCCCCGTCCTGCTCTCCCTCCGCTGGCTGGCGTCGGGGCTCACCGGTGCACTGGTGGAGCTGGGGGTGGATGCCCGGGGGACTGCTGGCTCATTCCTGGCGGCCTCTCCACTGGCCCCGGCCGGCCGGGGCTTTGCTGGGGCTCCTGTCTGGGGGTGGGGTGCCCTTGGGGCCTCGGATCCCTGGGGCCTGGGACTGGATCCGCTTCGGGGTGGGGCTGGGTGTTGTTCGGGGATTTTCGGGGTCGGTGCCGGTGCCTTCGCTACGATGCCGGTTCCTGGGCGGTGTTTCTTTCCTATGCCGGTTCTGTGGTATCGGTTCGGGGAGGGGGGGAGCTGCGCGGCATGGTGGGGTGCGGGTCTTGGGTCCTGTTTTGGGCTCCGGTTTTTCCGCTCGCACTTCCCCTCTTGCCTATTTATTTTAATTGTAATTATTAATTAATTTATTTATTTACCTATTTATTTGTTTTTTTTTTTTTTTTTTTTTTCTCTTCCTCGGTGGGGGGGAGCGGTTGCGGGCGGGTCGGTGTCTGGTGTCCGCTGTCGCATTGTGGGGGCCCCTTTTTTTTTTTTTTTTTTTTTTTTCTCTTTTTTTCTTTGGGGGGTTTGGCATGTCTGTTTTCTCGGGGGGCAGGCGGGCCTGCTGGGTGGGGGTCCTGCTGGCGGCGCGCCGCTGGTGTGTGGGGGTCCGGGCGGCCCCGGCGGGGGTAGTGTTGGGGGCCCGGTCTGGGCGGGCTGGCTGCGCTGGCTGGGTATTCGGGTGGATTTTCCCTCCTGGAGGCATGGCGGGGCTGCTCTGTTCCCACTGATCGCGGCGGGTGGGGCTGCGGGGCGGGTGTGGGCCTGGGGTGGCTATGACCGGCGCGTGGTGGGGGGCCGGGGCGGCGGAGCTGCTCTGGCCGCGTGTCGGGGCCTGGTGCGGGCTGCGGGGGGGGTGGCGGACGTGGCTGGGCTGCTTTGGCATCGTCCGGTGGGGGGGCGGCGCGGTTCGCTCCGCTCTGGCTTTGTGCTGCCCCTCGGGCTGCTGGGGGGGGTGGTTGCGCCGGCTGCGGTCTGCTCCTCTTGCGGTTTTGCGCCGGGCGGCTTTTCTGCTCTCGGGCTGATTCTGTGCGCGGTGTGTTTCGTTGCGCGCTGTTGGCATCGGTCTTGGTGGGGTGGGGCTGCGCTTTTGGCCGGGGGGGCGTTTTGGGGGAGGTCCCGCGGCGCTCGTGGCCGGTTCGCGGCAGATGCGCATGGGCCCCGGCCGGGGGCGGGGCCGTCTTAGTGTTTTCCTGGGTGGTGCGGTCGCGGTGGGTGTTGCGGCCGGTCGCCGGGGCTTGGTGCTGGGGGGCGGGGCGTGTTTCGGTGCTCTGTGGGGCTGGGGCGTTTCGGTCGGCGCCGTGGGGGGGCTGGTGTTCGGCGCCCGGCCCTACTTCGGGGTGGCCGGCTGCCGGCGGGGCCCGCGGACTCGTCCCCGCGGCTCCCCGGGGCGCCGGCATGGCGGTGGCTGGGGGGCTTCCTCGTGGCTGTCTCTCCTCCTGCCTTGGTGGGGTCTGATTTCCGGGGCTGGCCCCGCCTTGGTGCCTTCGCTTCTGGGGTCCCCTTGGGCGCCTGGGGCTTTGGGTCTCCCGGCGCTGGACTCAGTGCTCTGGGGGGGGTGCCTCTCCGGCTCTCCACAACCACTATTGAGCATTTTTTTCTATGGTTAAAACTTTACATGCACAAGTTCACCCTCACAAACAACTACAGGTGCTAGGCTTCAGGTACTTAGAGATTCACTTCCAAACAGAAACCCCACATTCATATCTTCAGGTAACACAGAGTACATGTCAGACTTAATAATATTACTTTAGTGATAGTTTCAAGGTGTTTGCTTTATTGTATATCTCGTACCATGTTTTTTGGTTGTGCTGTTCTTTTTTCTTTTCTTTTTTTTTTTCTCCATCTCATTACAGGTGTTGAAGCAGACTGAAAATGTTTTGTCATTGTCTCCTTCCTATCTCCTCTTTCTTTCATCTTTTGTCCTGTTTTTTTCTTTTTCTTTTTCCTTCTTCTTCTTCTGTTTTTCTGCTCTACTTACATTGCAGTGTCCATATGAACTGTAAAACTCCCTGCATAATTATAATAAAGCAATTTATATACATGAAACAAGTGGAGCGGTATGGCAATTGCGATACCGCTACACTTGTGAAAGTAAAATCTGTTGGGCTCCTTTTGGCATCAAGACAATTATTCTTATTGCCACCTTGCCAGACAGGACACTGTAAAAAAAAAAAAAAAAAAAAAAAAAAAAAAAAAAAAAAAAAAAAAAATTAATTTTAATTTAAACTCTGTTCATTTGATTAGTATTCTTCTCTCCACAAAGACCTTGTCTTTTGTAACATATATGGAAACGTATAATTAAACGCTACAAACAATTTGAGACTCTTCTTTGCTGCCTGTGCATTAGCTTGTTACCTCTTTTTTTCTTTTTGATCCTGAAGAAAAGAGTATTTGTTCCAGAAAAAACTAACAGCGTCACTGAATTGCTTGACCCCGATTTCTGCTTCCAATGTTCTATGGTCAAGACCCGATGGGTCAAAGCACAGAAAAATGTTCCTTTTGACAGAAAAGAATAAGGTTTCCTTTTTCCCATTTATAAGTTTTAAGTGGCAATTTTGTAGGCTTTCTCTTGCATGATCCAAGACGAGGCGTATTGCTTGATTAGGTTAGCTTTTCATAAAAGATGTTTAAATATGATTACATCCTTGACCTTCCTTATGGATTTAATCCAACATTGAATTGTAGAAAGTGCTTTAAAGTATAACATGTGTTCATGATCATTGCCTTTTTGTATAAATGTGGTTGGCATTTGCCCTGTAAACCTTTTTCTCCATATGTATTCTATAGTTAATGAAGATCTTTTTCTACAAGGATTTAAATATTTTCAAATTTACAATGTTCATAACAGAGGGAGGCCAAAAGGCCTCAAAAGATAAAACAACTGTGCTGTTCACAATTCACCTTACATCTCCTCCAATCTGTAAATGCTGGATTTAGTCATTTTTGCAATTACAATTTTAAGGGGTCTAATTACAGTAGTTGTCAAAATAATCATATTACACCTAGTAGCAGTTTTATCCTTGTTTTTCTGCTCCTATTTAAGGTTTAGGTATCTACAGTTAATCCCCTTTCACAGTATACTTCAAGGCACTTTTTTTCCTGACTCAGTAAGTAAGGTAGTCACAGCCCCAAACCAACTAAGCCTCAAACTTTGAGGGTTTAAGGAATAACTTAAAGGTCATAAATGCTATTTTTTTGTTTGGTTTTGTTTTTTTGGTTTCTTTTTCTTCATTTTTTTTCAATTAGCCTACTAGAATGTTCACAGCAAGTAGGTGATGCAATCACTCTACTTGATTTTAACCAATTAGTCAACCAGCAACATGACTGCTGCACTAAGTTCTGTTTATCATGAGTGTTTTATTGACACCGCTGCATCATGATCTCCAGATGTATAGAATGTTGTTTCCTTTGGTGTTTATGTTTTTGGCATATCCTGGTTGTTTAGTGTGCCCCACAGGTCTTGCCATATTGTTAAATTCTTAGATTGTTTTTGTATTCAGGTCTTTTTACGCTCAAATTTAGTTTCTCTTCGATATTTTGTTAAATTTTTTCCTTGGTTGATCGATTTAATTTATCTCTGCAAAGCTCCATTTGTATTATTAGTCTCCTTCACTCAGCCTCCGTGCTTTACTTTAGATTCTCCTCATTATCCTTTGATTATATCAGTGGCTTCCTATGTCTTTGACTTCAGTATTTAAGTCAACTGTTGACCTGTTTTCACCACACAATCCTTCAGTTAGACTGCTTATTATTTTCTCATTTATATATATATATACTGTATATAACCATGCATACTGTCTTGTCTTTGCTGCTAACTTCACTTAAAGTTCAAACATTTCCTTATTTTAGGACATAATTGCCCTGTTGGTTACAACCAAAACCACATCACATAAAATTCTCATACAGATATATTAAGGCAGTGCTATCATCAGCAATATGTCATACTACACCTCCAATCATCCTGTGCTACTTACGAGATTTTGAGACTCACTGCAGTATGAAATATAGCTCTCTCTGCTCTTGATTTGTTAATAAAAAAGCTCAGAAATTGCTTAATTCTATGGGTTTATAAATAAAATGTTTTATGGAAAATGGTTAAAACGGATAGCGAGCTCTATGAACAGGCAGCACTGAAAGGGGGATGGGAAAAAGGTGTTGGCTGGAGCTCTGAAGATGTAACTCTCCCGTTTTGTTTTGGATGCCGGGCGATTTTAAAATCACAGGCACTTGATTAAAGAACATGTTTCACATATTAAATTGTAGGATCTCTGAAAGTTATTTTCTAACATACAACTATGACAGTAAGGTGCATGATTGGTGAGTCATTGAGTCCTCAAGGTGTAAGCACAGTTATATGAACCCATAATAAAATCTCATATAGTAGTTTTACCTAAATTGAAATATAATTGTTGTTTGTTTTTGTATTTCTAACATATATAATTGTTTTAAAGGTTCTTTATTAATATCCATTTCATACTACAGTGACTCTCAAAAAACTTATATATATATATATATATATATATATATATATATATATATATATATATATATATATATATATATATATATATATATGGAAGAACCTCTCTTTAATCAATTCTTTTAACCTCCAATCCCTCACCTTTGTTTTGGTATTCTTCAGTCTATCCTTCCTATATAGACCTGCAAAGAATTACAGGTCTAAACTCTGTTTGGTCCCACTTAGGTTGAAAGAAGTGTGTACAAATATTTAAGATACTCTAAAACCTCTTTTTATGAGTAAAAATTCAGTCAAAAAAAATCCTTAATAACAGTTAACTAAATTAGATCTTAAGAAGTGAAAAAAAAAACTCTTATCTTAATCACTGAACTTAATTGTGTCTCCCTTGACCACACACCACTGCTGTTTGGAGAAATTCTAACTCCGGCTATTGCAAAGTAAGAAAAAAAATCAAATCCAGTTATTGTTCTATGTTTGCCTGGCTAGATTAATAGTGGCCTCTATTTAGCTAAGCCATACAATCATTTGGAGAAGCTTCTAAAAAAAATCTTTGTTGAAGAAAATGTAAATAAAATCTACTATAAGCAGCTTACTGTTGTCTCTTTCAGATAGAAACAAACATGTTCATGTTTTAATGTTCTACTGATTACATGCATTCAGGACTTGAGTTTAACTCTAAGCTGAAATTTTTGTTTGCACAGTTGATAGCTTCACCAGGCTCGTTTGCAGTGAGTAACAACTCGGTTTAGAGAGAGTCCAACACAGGAAACATATATTTTTATTCTTCACTGACATATATCTTCCTTTCAATTTCTATTTCAGGCGTTCCTTCTGCTCCTCGCAATGTGCTCTCAGAGGTGAATCAGACATCAGTGATCTTGGAGTGGAACTCTCCACGCGATACTGGGCACCGTGAGGATCTGTCATATAACGTGGTGTGCAGGCGGTGCCACAGCAGCGAGCGGCGGGCTTGCCAGCCTTGTGATGACAGCGTGGTTTATGCTCCAGGCAAGGAGGCGTTGAAGGAAACAAGGGTCGAGATCAGCAGGCTTCGTGCTCACACCTCGTACACATTTGACATTCAGGTTTGTGTCTTCAAATGTGTTAAGTTGGTTTTGTTAGGAAATCCAAGCCTAGGGTGATTATCTCTGAGTACCAAGAAAGTTTTCAAGCTTAAGATCCATCTTATGTTGAGTATTAGTTTCTTTGAGTGTTTTTTGCAAAAAAAAAACTGCATCTTTGTGTGTTTTCTATTTTAAAAACTGTCTCCTCTATTTAAAGTTCCTGTCATCTTCTGTTTTAAATGCAAATGGATACTAAATATTCACTAAGTTGCTCAGAGACAGGACATAGATACTTGCTGACCTGCAGGCTTTTATGCAAAATCTGCAATTATATCTCTCAGCTTACAAGGTCACCTTAAAGTCTGCAAAGCCAGTTCTGTGGTAAACCTTAAATCTATCACCATCTGGCTCCTATACTGCCCAATTTTAGGACACCCTGCATTTGAAATGGGACATATAAGGCCTCTAAGACCTCCAGAGTAAAATGAATGTTAAATTTGTGCACATAGTTGTTAGAATACTTGGCTTCATTGCCATTGATTTTAGAATATGAAATGTAGGATTACAAGAGTAATGGCTGAAACTGTGGTTTATTTGTAAAACATTAAATAATATTTTCCCATACCACCTGAGGTAAAAACTCTAAATGAATGTTAAATTTTAAGTTTGAATGTATTTAATCTTAGTTTTTTTATATATTAGTTTGTTTCTTTTTTATAGGGGGTGGTTATACACTACGTCTCAGCTTCAGCAGTCAAGGAAAGGCAGCAACAATTAAATTAGTGGTGCCTGAAGTAAATTATCATAAATTAAAACCCTAATTTGCCCTGACTAAAGCATTTGTTTCACTGTCACAATGATTAACTGCATACTTGGCAAATAATATTTGGAAAGTGGTCTAGTCTTTGGATGACAGCGAGAATCTGGTCAGACAATAAATCATATATATGGTGAAATTATGAACTATTTTCAGATTTGTTTAGTATTTAAATTTGATGCTTTAATGAAAATGATTAATCATTATATTATCATAAATTTGATTTTTTTTTTTTTATGTATGTAGGTTTCAAACCTCTGAAATATTCATTTATAAATGTTCATGATAAAAGCTTCTATAGATAAGTAATTTTTTTGTGTGTAGTCCTTTTGGGTGTTAAATAGTTGACCATTAGAATTTAAACTCTGCAGGCAGTCAATGGAGTGTCCAATAAGAGTCCTTACCCTGCCCAACAGCTGTCCATCAACATTACAACCAATCAAGCAGGTAAGCTAGAATGGAAGAAAAAAAAAAAGCAAACTGTTGTGCGTGTATGTGTGTGTTTACAAGCATCTGTGTGTGTAAGTATACCCCCAGGCACAGTGGATTATATGCGGGAGGGATGGCTGGAGAGATAAAGGAAATTGAGCTCCAGCCTTTTAATTCATAAAACATGTTACCGGGTTGTCATCTCTTCCCTCCCCCTGTTCCTCCCCCTTCACTTTTTCCTGCACCTCTACGGCTTTAATCCTGTCTAAACTCCTCTTCTCTGCTTCCTTTCTGATTTTCCTTTTCTTAGCTTTATCTCTCTTTCCCCTGCCATCCTTTGCCTATTTAGCTTGCTGCTGTGTAATTCTTGGAGAACATAACTGATTTGTTACTCAATGAATTCCATTTGCAGGCAGACATAAGTGGAACTTCTTCTTCTAGCTAAATTTAAAGCTGAAAGAACCTTTTCCCTGATGGAAAAATATAACTGACATCATCTGCTCTATCAGAGGCACTCTTGGAATTGGTACCTGATCAACTGCAACTTTCCAAGTATCTTTTTATCTGATGTCAGATGCAAACCCCTCATGGAATCTTGCAAAACCCTACAATAAAAAACAGATCTATGATCAAGTAAACTGTGATTGAGAGGGCTTTTTAATTTAAGCAGATGGTTTTGAGAGTATTTCATTGGACTCTAATGTGTGAAAAAAATAAAACAAGTAATTGATCAAAAGAAATAATGCTCTTCATCCATACTATTTGACTTGCATGCTTAAAGTCTTTTTTTCAGTAAACCATTTTTTAAATCAATCAATCGTTATTCTCTAAAATGCTTGTATTTTATTAAGGTTAACTCTTTTGATAAATTTTAGTTTGCATGCTGTAGTACAGGTCCTTTTTCTTTCTCTAACAAAGAACTTGTGTAAAATGTAAGAAAAATGTTCCTATAATATAACTCCAGAAATTCATCATAATCAAAGAACTGCAGATCCTAAGATTATAACAAAAGATGCATTAAATGTATTTTTACTCAATCATTGAGAGGAGCAGCAGTTTGCTTTCACATGCACTGAATTTTGTGCGCCACATTTTAAGTAATTTCTCAATAAATTGTTCTGTATTTGCATATTTATGATGTCTAAACATTTTGATGAATGTCTATAATTCCTAATTGGTTGTGTGTTCTTACTGGTGTGTGTGTGTGTGTGTGTGGCTGTGTGTACATATTTGCTTTACACTAGCACCTTCTGAGGTTCCCATAATGCACCAAGTGAGCTCAACGAGCCGCAGCTTTTCTCTCTCATGGCCCCCACCTGAGCAACCCAATGGGATCATCCTTGACTACGAGATCAGATACTACGACAAGGTAGAGTGGAATGATAAATGTCTGTGTGGCTGTGCGTTTTGGTGTTATGGTCTTAGCCAGTATTCTGCTGGGAGTCGATAAACAGTGAAATCAATGTGAAGTGCATTAAAGTCATCTAATTAACTGTCACTGAGTACTAGAAACTGTTTTATTTTGCAAACACATTCACTCACTGAAATCTGATCGCAAATCAGAATCAATTTCTGCTCATTACAGGAATATCTTTTCTCTCTGATATCTTGTCATGTCGATGCAGATTTTGCAAAGTGTACCTTAAAACTAAGAGTGAAAATTTTAGAGTACAGTAATTGCAAATCGCAATGGTGATCATTTCTCTTCTTTTCTTTTATGATTTTTCTGGATTTATCCATGCAACTTGGGGATAATAGATCATTTGGTTCCAGTTTCTATTATTTACATTTTATCAGTTAATTTGAATATACATCGTTTAACAAAAACACACTATTGGGTTTTATTTGGGTGTTGACTAACCTGGGTAGTTTCCCTATGATTGTGTTCAGTTCCCAGTACAAATGGTACTTTCATTTTGCTTGACTCCTTAGTAAACAGCTTTCATTGTCATATTTCTTCACTTTTAGATGTCAGGAAGGAAAATTTCACATGTTTATAGAAACTTGCAAGTTGAGCCTTTTTTAATAATGCCCACCTTTAAAAAAATAAAAAGTTTGTTACAGAATGCATTGAGCTTTAGATTCATTCTCCTACTCATATCTGTGGTACCTTTAAACTGACAAATGGATTGAGTCCTTGCCTGCAGCATGAATTTTATTGGTTAGGACACAGGATATAAACCTTCAGCTTTCAATATGTTTTAAGAAAAGGAAGATGGATGCACATATTGAATTCAAGAGGAAAAGTCGTGACTCAACCTCATTAGTGCACAATTTTACAAATACAAGGACAGATGATGACTTTAGGTTTGACTTTTTGTGCTCGTTTATGGTATTAACTGTCATCCTTACTGCTCTTTTTTTCTCATCATATGATGCTCCCTCATTCTTAACTTTTACTATGCAGTTCTGTAAAAAAGGCTGCTCTAACTATTCAGAGAGGTTTCAATATGTGATAGATTTGGCTGAGGTATTTCACTATACCTAAGGTATTTTACTACTGTACCAAAAAATACATTGATGGAGTATGCATTCATAGTTGCCGCTATGTGGTTGGGCTCTACATTATCATACTCATGCTATCCTATTTTGAATCGCTTTCTCTACAGATACTAGCTCATAATAAAGTACTAGCTATGAATCAAGTGAGACTCACCTCAATTTAAAATCATAATCCCACCTCTAGAGGGGCAGTGTGGGAATGAGGGATTTGGCGTTGTGTGGTCAGGATATGGCAGCTAGTAATGGCAACAGCAGTTCTTTTGAGTGAACTAAACCACTAGAATCAGTTCACTGAAATGATTCAATTAAAAGATCTGTTCACTGAATCATCATTAACTACAGTTTTGTTACAATAAGCATGGTTTCACCAGATTTAGTGTCCTATTTACAGAGCTTTTACTACATTTCATTCTCTTTTACAATTAAAATAGCTATAACTATGGCTTTAGTGACATTAAGTATACTCATCATAGACCTTTAACAGGCTTTTATTTTAAACAGTTAATAAAGATGAAAGAGTGAGCAAGCCATCATCACAGCCCCATATGAATCACTCCCTGATTCATACGTCGCACTATTTTTTCTGAGTACTACTTGACGAATCACTCCTTGGCAGTTTTTCTCCGTGTTTGGTACATTAGCCATTAGTTTGGAGGTATTCAAGTAAACTACAGCTATTAGCTTGGAGTAATAGATGCTGTGGTGTAAGCTTGGGTGTTTCCTTCCAAACAGTTCAACCAGATTTTAACTATAATTCTATTGTATTCTATTCAGTTTTGTTCATTCACAAAAATCCATTGTTGATATGAACACCAATAAAGCTTGTTTATAGGACTTCAATTGTTGCTGACACAACTACATTGAATAAGCTGTAGCCTAAACACTACCTTTCCCGCCCATATTAAACCCAACAGATAGGTGTCCTACTCCCGTTTTTAATATTTTATATATATTTAGCTATATATATATATATATATATATATATATATATATAAGGTCATGATGGTGTTAAACATACAGTAATCAAAATGAATTAACTCTGCCTAAAGCCACTTTAGGAACAAAATAATTATGTGAATTTATCCATAAAGCTGAGACATCGTGATAAGGATAGATACTGTCTGGATGTCCTTGTTGCTTCTATCAATCCACATCAGACTCTAAAAGTGTCATTAATAATACTTCCTTTTTTTTGCTGGCTATCACATTGATTTTTCTGTCCTTTCATTTATTTGTCCTTCTATCTCACACACCTTGGTTAAACTGTGTTTTTTCTGCTTTCTTTGCCATAGTTGCTATTGGTTACTATTAAATTATATTAATCAGCTGGCTCATTTAAATACACAATAACATTCATGCAGTGCTTTGCATTTTTATGGTTATATTTGGGCATGAAGTGGGCCAAACACAAGGTGGAGCGTTGGACGCAAACTTTGAGGCACAGCTTTGATCTGTATAGGGAAATTGTTTGGTTTTGTTTGTTCACATGGTTTTATAAATCAGTATTGTTTTTGTTCTACTAGATTTTCAGGTGTTACCATAAACAAAAACTTTTACTTGGAGAAAAAAAAATAAAAAAAATAAAAAAGTTGTAAAATCTAATAAACAATGAATGCAGCAAATGATTGATGCCCTAAAATATTTATTTAAAAGGATCCAGCATCAGTTCCAGGGTACAAAGTTATTTGATTAAAAATGATTAAATCCTCCTAAAACTGATCACAAAGTTGTTAAACATGCTATTTAATTTATAACAGAACTAAACATAATTTTGTTTTTGTACTTGGCAGAACATTATGTGCTATCAGATTGAAAACCTTTCAGAAGCCCATTTCAAAAGTTAAACTAGGCAAAGTTATCGGTATAGCAAATTTAGTACAAGGACAATTCAAAGTTCTTTGAATTGAAGAAGCAAAATAAAAGCAAGTAAAGACAAAAAAAAAAAAAAAAAAAAACAGATAATAAAGCAAATAAAGCAGTTAAACCAATACATCAGTTAACATTTTAGGTTAAAAGGCAGTTCTAAACAAATAGGTTTTTAATTTTGACTTACAGTAAAAGATTTCAGGCTTGCAGCACTTTTACAGTGTTATGATTTCCTGATAAGTGGAGCATAGGAACTAAATGCTGCTTCTCCATGTTTTGATCTAGTTCTGGGTGAACAGAGTAGGCTGGAACTAGAAGACCTGATTTGTCTGTGAGGTTGATACACTGACAACAAATCTGTTATGTATTAAGGTGATCCATTGAGTGATTTATAGACTAACAGCAGGTTTTTAAAGTCTATTATCTGAGTTACAGGGAGCCAGTGGAAGGACTTCAGAACCGGGTGGATGTGCTCTACTTTCTTAGTTATGGATCTGCTGCAGCTCTCTGATTGACTTTTAGGGAAGAATCAATAGTTCTAAAGATAAATGCATGAATGAGTTTTTCTAGATCCTGCTTGGACATTAGTCCTTTAATCCTAAAAACTTTCAGGTGATAAAAAGCTGACTAATAAATACCTCTATGTGTATCTGAAGGTTCAGGTCTTAGTCCATCATGACACGGAGATCTCGGCCATAATCAGTGGTTTCTAGCTGCAGTAGGTAAAGCTGTAAGCTAACTCTAGATATATTCTTCTTTGTTCTGAAGATTATTAATGCAATGTTGTCTTCATAAAGTTGGAAAAAATGATGCTGCATCCATGTATTGATCTGTTCTAAGCATCTAGACAATGCTCTGATTGGTTCATAGTCACCCGGTGATATTGTGATGTAAAGCTCTGTGTCTTCTGCTTGGTTATAATAACTAATGTTGTTGTCTGCTATAATCTGAGCTGAAGGGAGCATGTAGTTATTGAATAGGAGGGCTCCAGAATGTTTTTGCTGTAATGTGTTCTTCATCTTTATAATCTCCTTCCTGTAACTTAACATGGCTATTGCTCCAACGGCTGATAGAAATAATTGCCGCTGTGTTTGTTGGCTGACACTCTTGGCATGATAATTAATTAAGGACAGCTGTTGACAGAAGCTGTCAACATGATTGTGATTTGTATAATTGTGGCATTTTCTTTCTCACTGCTGGTAGATGTCTGATCACGTAAATGCATCATCTTTTGACAGATTCATCTAGTAATTAGTGAAGATGGATTTTGGAGTAAAATGCATATTTGATGGGGCCATACTGCATTGCCACACTGACAGGGTCCTACAGAGATAGAAAGGCTCGTTTTACCAATTAAAAATTCACAGTACTTTTGTTAGCTGTTGGCTGCAGTGAGCTCTTGAAAAACAAGACATTAGATTTTTTTTTTATTATTTAGATTGTAGTAATAATATATATTTATCCATTAAATAACACAAGGAAGCTCAAAGAGAAAACACAAGTAGAAACAGTGATAATCATTCTCACACATTTCTCTTAAGTGGGATTCCCATTAGATTTCACATTTGTGCTTTCCTCCAGCTGTTGTCACTATACTTGTTTATGTGTCAAGTTTTGTATTGCAACCTTGTCTGAACCCTATATATGTTTGCTGAGTTTATTTTATAATATTTATGACCTCAGCTCACATTCTTATTGTGGGCTTCATGTCTCTCAGCTGACTCGAGTATATGACAGCAGTCACCAGAGACCCCTGGTCATGCAGATACTTTTATCTGTGAAAGACTGAATATGTTCTTTCTAGACAGACCTGAGCGCAGAGAGTGAATCCTCTTGTTACAAAAACAACATTTATATAAAGTAGGTGTGGATTCTGAAAATGTTCTATTTTCTTTCCATGTAACTTCAAAGCCATGGTAAGCAGATAGAACCACAGGAAAAAAATGCATGTGGAAATGTTAATATACTTTCTTTCAAACTCTTTGAAAAATTGGTTTTCCT